ATATTTGTAAAAAAAAATAAATCTGCACCTCTAATGTCACCATGTTATCCTCTTCCTCTGCAGGGGTGAGATGTCCCCATGGGATTAGCTGCTGCTCTTTCCACTCCAGCAGCAGACTAGCAAACAAGCAGGACTTGTATGAAGTCCTGGGCGTCTCCCGCACTGCCTCACAGAAGGAGATCAAGAAGGCTTACTACCAGGTCTCTTAACATGCTATCGTTAGACTTCTTATATGTGTCATTCCATTAAAATGAGTAAAACATGCAGTTTTCTTTTGCCTTGAATGCAAGCTTTTCCTTTTCATTTGTCCAGCTGGCAAAGAAGTACCACCCAGACACCAACCCAAATGACCCAGAGGCCAAAGAGAAGTTTGCAAAGCTAGCTGAAGCATATGAGGTAAAAAAAAACAAAAAAAACAACTCAAAGCAAAACAGTTATATAAATACAAACATCCAACGTAAGTTCATTCCAGAAGCACATTTAGCCTGATATTTATCTGCTCTCTTGCTTCTGTGTGCAGGTGCTGAGTGACGAGCTGAAGAGGAAGCAGTATGACACGTACGGCGCGGCGGGCTTTGACCCGAACCGTGCCGGTGCTGGCCAGCAGCAGTACTACAGGGCTGGGGGCGCCACTATAGATCCCGAGGAGCTCTTCAGGAAGATCTTTGGAGAGTTTACGGGAGGCATGGGCTTCGGAAACATCAACAGCATGTTTGAAGAAAGGCCAGAAGTAAGAGGTCGCTGACAACACCATAGCATCGATCTTTTTAGATATGTGATGTTAAGATTCAGTTTAACATACAGATGTGAGAATTGAACACTGGTTTTTAAATGTTCCCGTCTTTTCCTAGTTTGTGATGGAGCTTACGTTTTCGGAGGCGGCAAAGGGCGTGAATAAGGAGCTGAGTGTGAACATTGACGACACGTGCCAGAGGTGTGACGGGAGGGGCAACGAGCCGGGGACTAAGGTGTCTCACTGTCACTACTGCAATGGCACAGGGATGGTGAGTTTCCGACCGACGCTCGGCAGCAGGCTCCTCTCAGCACCTGGCTGCACTCGTCAGCTTGTCTGTGTCGCCCCTTGCAGGAGTCGATCAGCACAGGACCCTTCATGATGCGCTCAACGTGCCGGCGCTGTGGTGGGAAAGG